CAGGATGGTAGTCGGTATGAACCCACGGTGCAGCCACAGTCCTGTGAGCTGCCCACTGCTTGCCCTGGCCAGTGGTTCACCTGGCTACCTCGGTCATCACCATTACCGGGTTCCTCATCCATGTGATTCCAGATCCCAGCACACCTGCCAAACGAGTGAATGGTAAGAGGCAGAGGGTGGCATCCCTGCCCGCTCCTGCTGCCTGCACAGCTGAGGATGAACTTGCATGATGGCGGGAAGCAGAGGGCATCTGCCATACACTCAGGTGATGCCAGCGGTGAGGAGGGTGAAGACCACCCTACAGAGCTGACAAAACCATGGCGGTGGGCACCGAAAACACTCCTCCATATGTGGAAACTTCTAACTTCTCTTCAGCCAAAGGGCACCTGAGAAGCGCACGTGTGAAGAAGCTGGGGTAAAGGCGGGTGAAACAATGCTGTGCTGTATGAACATGGTCTCCTGGAGAAACCACACACAATCAACACTCGCTGGACACGGATTTTGAAGGTATATCAACTGCTATCATTGTCATCATCGAAAATCCTTCTGTTTAAAGAGGCAGTACAGGGCTTCATGGGCACCCTCACACGCAGGCCCTCTGCCTAGGAGGGATAATGCCACTCTCCCCCTCTCACCTTTCTCTGTGCAAAGAAACGCAATGCTGCTATTTTTCATTTGTTTTATTTATTGATTTATGTTTATAGAGACGGGGATCTCACTATGCTGCCCAGACTGGTCTCGAACTTCTGGCTTCAAGCCATCCTCCCATCTTGGCCTTCCAAACCACTGGAATTACAGGCGTGGGCCACTGTGCCAGGCCAGAAATGCAACATTTCGATCTGTGTTCAGGCCCAGCTGTATTACATGTTTACTAAGAGGGCAAGGGAAGGTCTCAGACCAAACGTCATGTCACCGTGGGGTGGGCAGCCGCCGAGGGGCCCTGTGATCCTGGCCTCCTGGCATCCACGCCCCTGTGCCCCCCACCCCACATCCCTGAGGCATGGGCTGTGCTTACTGATCCACTTCCAACAAACAGTCTGGATAGAAGGGACGGGAGGTCTCTCCCGGGCCCCGGTTACAGAAGCTTCGTGGCTCCTGCCCGGGTGCCCGCTCACTCTCTCTTGCATGGCTCACCCTCAGGGGTGCAGTTGCCATATTCCGGGAAGCCCTGTGTTTTAAAACAAGCCTGTGTGGCGAGGGATGGAGGCCGGGCAAATCCGTGAGCAAGCTTGGAGGCAGATCACACACAGGCCCCTCCTGAGAGGCGCTGCCAGGTCCCCCGCTCAGCTGCACCTGGATTCCCGACCACACAGGCAGGGGATCTTTATGACACGCTTGTTGTTTTAAGCCGCTATGTTTTGGGTCTCATCACGCTGCCATGGATAACTAACCCACATGGCTTCTTTAAGCATCTGAAGACAAATATCCCAGTTGGCCCGGCAGATAAATATTGCTAATATAATAATAGCTACCGCTCATGGCGTGCTTGCCAGGGCCTGGCGCTGCCCGGAGACTGAACGATCACGCTCTTATGTAACTAGCCGGGGCCTGCTAAGGGAAAACAATAAGCAAACGGGGACGTGAAGCCTCAGGAACCTGACCTGCGCTTGCACACCACGGTTTGTCGGGCACCTTAGTGACCTGTGCCCCAGCTGACCGCGTGTCACTCTCACCTCCAGAGGGGAAAGGTTCAGCGTGTGACTCCAAGATCAACCAAAGCCTTCGGAGCCCTGGCACATGCCAGGAAGCGCCAGCTCCCAGGAGAACCAGAGCCTCTGGGGACAGGCACTGCAGTGAGCAGTGGCCACATGGGATCTTGAGTACATTTAAAAGGTTGAAAGCCTCTTTGTCAAAAAGACAATTCCGTTACTTTCCCCCAAAAGACCAATTTTACATTTAAAAATGCCACTTTCACGAATTTCTGCAAATTTCATTGACTTCAATTTAAACTCATTTCCTCTTGGGCTGTGATAGGTGAGGATGAAATATGCCTGGTCAGGAACCTTCTTCTGTTCCTTTCTTCTTTAAAAAGCAAATTCCACAGACTCCAGAAGGATCTCAACATCATGTGTTATTTAAGAAAAAACAGAGAGATGAATGAGGTTTTTTTTTTTTTTTTTCTGAAGGTCATTGAAGATAAAAGATGCTGCTGAACAATGAATATAAGGCAATGCTGTTCCTTACCCCTTCCAGGGTGGCAGAGATGAGAATCAGCCATCTCAGCCACCATCACGTGTCCACCTGGGCCACAGCTCTCCAGTAGCTGGCAAAGCTGTTCCCTGTGATGTGGGGAGCGGGTTCCCTGAGAGGGTACAGGCTGGCAGCTCCCATCCACCCTGGCCAGCGCCTGCCATGTGCCTGCCCCACTCTGTCCTCTCCCGGTGCCTGCTCTGTGTAGCACCTTGCTTTGTGAGAATGTGCACAGCAACGGCACTGGCTGTTTCTGTGGTGTCTGGAGAAGAGAGGCCTCAGGGCTTAAGGAAGCATTTTAGCAAGAATCCAGAAACCCCAAGGCCCCCACTGAGCAAGGCTCCCAAACTCCCAGCGAGAACAGAAGAGGCATTGCCCTGGCCCCAGGCTCCCATTTCACCTGTAAGTGGAGTCCCCAAAGCCTCTAATCCTAAGCATAGTTTCCACCATCAGTGGCAGGGCGCAGATCCCCTGACACACAGCATGAGTTGTTTGGGTGTTGATAGTAATGAGTGAAGTCCTATAAATACAGTATCCTATAAAAACAGCATCACTGACGAAATCAAGGGTGGAGAGGTGTGGTCCCTAGGCTGCAGGTGGGATGGGCGCGCTGTTGACTTGCTTTCCGGCATCAGCGCTCCCACCCTTATGCTCAGAGTTGTAAAGTGATCACGGATTCAGAAGCCTTTGGGAGTAAAACCCTAAATGGTGCTGAGATTAAATTCTCACTCCACGAAAGTCTCCTCCTGTCTCTGGGCTATGTCCCCTCTCTGGGCCTGGGTCCCTCCCTGCATGTGTTGCGGGGCTCACCTTCTCCCTCATCTGTGCCTGTCCCCGTGCCTGCTAGTGCTGGGCATCTGGGTGCTGCTCCAGCATCTCTGCGCATGGCCCTGCTCTGCCAGCTCCTGCAACGCCATCCCCAACCCCAGGAAGGTGCGGGTGACTCGCACCTCTCAGAATGAGGCCTTCGCACATCACAAGCCAGGAAGGTGTTAGAAACCTGGTCCTGACTGCAGCTGGCCTCGGTCATTTTAGGATGGTCAGGGCCCTGTTTCTGGAGCAGGTCTTGGGCCCCAGGGCCCCTGCTTTTGTGCCCCCAACATCTTCCAGGGGAAAGAGCAGAAGCTTTGAAAGCAGACTTAGGAGCTATTGTCCTCGGGCAAATCACTCAGCCAAACTGGGGCTCTGGGGATTTATTTACAAAATGTGGATAAGAATATCCTAAGAATTAGAAATTACAGAAATAAAGTGAACAGCACACGGAGTGAGCTCGTGGGCGTAACACCACCAAGGGGCAAGCAGGGATTGGAAGGCACCCCCAAGTTCAACAGGCTTTCTGTTCTACCTCAGAGACTCCTGGTCCACGAATTATGACTGTTTCCCCATTCTAAGCATGAACACCACCAGAAGGTTTTCAAAGCCTGGAAAATCACCAGCTGCCTCTAAACTACAGTTTGAATTCCAGGAGACGCTGGCACCTCAGAAAGCCTAGCTGTAAAGGTGGTAAGACAAGTGACCTGACAGCCAAGACACACCGGCACCCCATACCCTTCCTCCTGGGCAGGAGATGAACCCTGCCATTCACCCCTGGGATCCATGACGGGGTTAGGACCATGACATTCTAAGGGGTGATCTCTCGTCAGAGAGAATAAATCCACAAAGCTGTAACTCAGATCTCTGCCCAAGTTCTCCACATCAGAGAATGGTAGTTACTAGAATGTTTGCTCTTGTTCCTAGAAATATATTTGCGCACGCGCGCGCGCGCACGCGCGCACACACACACACACACACGTGTACACACAAGCAGATATCAAGTTAGCCCTGGGAGAATAAATAGGAAAACAAAAGGAGAAACAGTGGGCAGGAGGCTCTCTTCATCTGCCTCCAGGATCCAGACCCACTGAACCTTCTAGTCCCCTATGTCCTCCATGGCCTCATGGCCCCTATCTCGAATCTTCTATATTCTAAACACCACGATTTTGTCTTCAGGGGATACCAAAAAACAAGGTGATTTCAGCAGCCCCCTTATCTATCTACAGGGCATTGTTCCCAGGTGCAAAACCTCATCTCCAAGTTCTGGATCAAACTCTTAGGACCTCTCCGGGCCCCGGACCAATGGACACCGTGATTCCTACTGGAATAGCTGAGTGCCGCAGATGGCTTTGATACAGCTACATGACGCAGGTTCAACCGCTACATGCTGCAGTGTGTTACAGATGACAAAAGCCAACTGAAGAGATCCTGTTCCAAAGGCATGCAAGCTACGTGCAAGAAGTCAAACTAGTCGGGGAAAAAACCAGAATTTCAGAATAATTCTGAATTTTGCAGTTCACTCTCTCACTTAGGGACTCAAAATTCTTAAGCCTTCAAGGATCAAAATGCAGAGGTGATGTCTGCCTCTTAGCCAAGGAGGCAGCAGAGCGTGGAATGAAGAAATATGGATGGGAGTGAAATCCAAATCTAATTACAGTTGTGTGGCTCTGAGCCGAATATTAAGCTCTATATGACTTAGCTTTTAAAAAATGGAGTGTGGCACATCATCTATTCATGTTGCTGTAAGGATTAAATAAATGAATCGCATGTAAAATGGCTGGCAGGTAGCAATTGTCAAGTACCTCCTATGATTGCCCATAAGAAGCTGTTAAGCCTGACTCCAAGCCAGAATAAAAAGCAGTTTATTAGGACCATTTCATCAAGTAGAAACTCTGCTGATTCTTCTGCAAGTTCTGAACCACCAGGAGCAAAAGGACAAGTGGTGGGGCTGAACCAGAGAAATGTGTGAAGCAGGGACGAATGTACTTCCGACTTACCCCTAAGAGCCCAAAGCGTTCGGACAGGCTCCAGCCACAGAGAAAGTCAATTTCAAACTTGTGGTTGAGAACCACGATGGCATTTTCCTTCCCATACTTGGGGTAGGCGCGCGGGTCCGTGAAGATGGTGCATTCCGTGCCCGACCACCACTCCAGCAGCATCACCAGCTCTGGAACAAACCACAACAGACAGACGTTTACTACACACAGCCTTGTCCTGGGAGCCCTACTGAGAGCAGGACTCTGCCCTCCCAGTTAGGGGAGAAAGCAACTTCTAGGGGCAAAGTTCTGCATCATTGCAGCACAGACCTTGGTCCTTGAAAGGGTTCAGAGTGGAAGGAAAAACGAGAAAGACTTCACAACATTCTCCAGGGAAGAAGAGGAGGATGCCTGGAGAAGGTAAATGACTTACGTTCCTTGATTAAGTACCTTGGGGGAAAATACATCAGAAAGCCAGAATCCGTCAAGAATTCATGCCCTTGTGTTTACAGAACTCTGCAAGGCAGCGTGAGATGAGGCACAGAATTCTTAATATGCTGGAAAATCACTAATTGGGATACTTATAAACTCCATCAAAGAATATTAAATACCCAACTTTCCTCTCCCATTTCTGACACTTGAGGGCAGGGAAAGAATGGAGAACGGTAGATCCAGCCGCAGGAGCCCAGCACCTGCAGGGCAGAGGGAGTGAGAGTCAGCCCACCACAGGTCTGAAGAGAACTGTCAAAATAATCTTTGCAGGGGCTTGTGAAAAGAAACAGATTCTGTTTTCAGGCAATGACGACCACTTGCAGCTTCTTCTTCAGTGATGCCTCCCATCCCGGGGACCTATTCTCAATCTGGCAGGCTCAGGAAAAGCCATCTATGGTAGAAATTTTCCAGAAAAACAGCTGAATGTGAGTGACGGACTCCAAAATGGGCTCTTACAGTTGATGGTGTTCAGTAGGGGGTGGGCGCCTGCGTGCTCTGTGAGGGTTGTGCCTCCTCCCTGTTTTTATTTTTATTTTTTTTTGAGACGGGGTCTTGCCCTAGGCTGGAGTGTAGTAGTGTGATCACGGCTCACTGCAGCCTCAGCCTCCCAGGCTCAAGTGATCCTCCTACCTCAGCCTCCTGAGTAGCTGGGACTACAGGTGTGCTCCACCAGGCCCAGCTAATTTTTTTTTTTGGTACTTTTTGTAGAGATGCAGTTTTGCCACGCTGCCTACTGGGTAGACTCCTGGGTTCAAGCAATCCTCCCACCTCAGCCTCCCAAAGTGCTGGGATTACAGGCGTGAGCCACCGTGCTGGGCCATGTGCCCCCCTTTTTAAATCACCAGTTAGTGAAACATACATGCAGCAGAGGACCCATTCCCTCCCCACCCCATCCCCACCCTACAGGCAGGTGCATTTGGCCTTGACTCCAACGGTAAGCCTAGTATCGTAGCTCAAGTGGCTGTCATCGGAAACTCTTCTCCTCCAGGTTGGAGGCTGGAGGCTTGATGTGGAACACCAGAGCCCTCTAGAAGGCATCACAGTCCAGTTTTTATGCAGTGAGCACTGTGGGACTTTGGACAAATTAACCTCATAACACCACAGTGTCTTAACCTTTGGAATGGGGTTGCCCCAAAGCGTTTTGTGAGCATAAAGTGCATAACACATAGTGTGTGCTCAGTGTAGAGCACATTGTAAGTTCCCAGCAAACTGAAGCTATCAGTCTCCTTAAAAATGAATAAAACGACTCCCCTTCCTTCTCCAGAAGTGAACAATAAAAAGTGTCTACCTATTTCTAGGAACTGAGAAAATATCCAGCTCCCATTCAGTTGTTCCACCAGGCCACGGCATTGGCGGAACCAGAAGCACAAGTCAAGGAGCAGTGACGCGTCCCGGGAGCTGGTTGTGGCGGCAGGAGTGGGGAGGGGGGCTAGGGTAACCATATGCAGCCTGGCAGGGCAGCCTGACAAAGGGGTGGAGGGACAATTTGTTACCATGGGGTACAAAGATGGCTGTAGCACTGGGCTGAGTTTTTCTAAGTGCAAGGATGGGAAGGATCAATCTATTCCATTACTGGCCAAGGAACACAGACAAGTGCCAAAGCACAACTCCACAGGGAGTCAGGGAGACAAAGCTGATGCTTCCAAGAGACTCCCATTTCCTACGTGCCACAGGCCAAATGCCTCTCTGTGGGACTCCTTCCTGCCCAAGGCCACTCTCACCGCCCCCTACCCCACTCACATGTTCCCCAGCACCCTCCACAGCCCTACCACAGCTGTAACTACAGCATGAGGCTATCTCCCCTACTACAGAGCACAGGCACCACGAGACAGCAACTGTACTGTTTGGTCTGCCCTGACCTTAGCCTCGACTCCAAGACTCAGCAAGTGCCTGGCACATGGATGCTTTCGACAAATGCCGCGTGATTACCTAATGCGCGCAAGCACTCTGTGAGGTTCAGGAGATGACCAAACATTCAGATCAGATCCTGGCTCCCCTCCAGCTTACTGTCCAGGGAAAAGACAGCTACACAACCACAAAACAACGTGACAGGGAAAGGAGAAAGGCCTGCTAACAGGATGGCTGCTGAATATTGTCCTCATGGATTTGGGAGGCAGACACATCCAGGCTCCGATCCTGGTGGAGCCACTTACTACCCGTGAGACTTCGGGCATGCTTCTCAGCGTCCCCCTTCTCTGTAAAATAGGGACAGGTAAACGCCGTTAGAGAAGCTGTGGATATTAAATAAAAGCATGAACTCAAGGCACCTAGCACGACACTGGGCATAGTAGGCAATCCATAAATGGATAGCTTTGTAATTACTATTATATGCATGATAATTTCATCACACACAAAGGCTCTGTGACCACTGAAGGGGAGAGGAAGGCTGGGGAAGAGACAGAGGCAGATGGAGAGAAACCCAGAGTAAGAGCATCGCAGAGACTTTTGGGTTCCCAGAGTAAAGAGTTATGATTTATGATTTCATTCTAAAGGTAATATAAAAACCACTGGAGCACACACACCAACATCCAATTTAAATAGACACACACCAACATCCAATTTAAATAGACACACACCAACATCCAATTTGCATTTGAAAAAAAAATCACTCTGACTGAAACAGGAACAGACTGGAACAGGGAGGCCAGCTAGGGGGGTGACTACATCAGCACAGTGAGAGGGGACAGTGCTGGGACCAGGTGGGGGAAGACCAAATCTCCCACTCATCTCAGTAGGCTGTTCACTAGACAACTAAACTCTGAACCTCATTGGATAGAAGAGTTTTATTTCCCCTCTTTCTTTTTTCCTTTCTTTTTTTTGAGCTGGTGTGTCACTCTGTCACCCAGGCTTGAGTGCAGTGGCCCAATCATACACAGCTCACCGCAGCCTCAACCTCCTGGGCTCAAGCAATCCTTCCACCTTGGCCTCCCAAAGTGCTGGGATTACAGGCATGAGCCACCACGCCTGGCCCATGTATTTTTTTTTTTTAATCAAATGATTTCACTTTTTTTTTTTAAATTCACAGAAACACATTTATACAGTCACATTGTAAAATGATTCAAACAACCCAGAAGGATGTACAAGAAAATATAAAATTCCTCTAAATAGCTTTGGGATGTGTTGATTAAGCTGGCCTGGACTACATTTCCCAGACTTCCCTTTCTTGGATATTTCTGGTTAGGGGCCACCACAAGAGACACTCTTGGGAGGTTTGGAAGGTGGAAAGGAAATAGCACCGTTCTGTAGGTCATGCATGTTTTTACTGATCTGCTGATTCATGTCTTCAGTGCAAAGCAGCAGCTAGGCCTGCTACTTCTCCTCCTTCCCCTGGATCCCCCACCAGCTTCTCTGAATCCCAGGCCAGGTGCTTGTGTTTTGCTCTGTGATGAAGATCCCAGCTTCTGCAGGACATCCACACCATCAATGCCAGATGCAAAAGAACTCATGCAAGTTTTAGCCCATTCTCATGGGGCTCCGCTCGTGCTTGGTGTTCCAACATCTTGATCTCTCCCACTTTCTATCCATCGCCCCTTCCTGACTGCCTGCCCTGTGGACTTTATCTCCACATGCAGATAAAACTGCCCTACAGAGACTGCTAAACAAGCCCCTACAGCTGAATAAGGCCAGTGAGATGATGTCCACATTATCTCCCAGTGGTTTTGCTTCTCTTATAGAACCCTGACTGAGAGACACTTCCTCTTTACCTCCCCGCCCTCCCTCCCTTCTCCAAGGTTAACCATTATGAACAGTTTGGAAAATAGTCTTATAGTTTTTTTTCCCTAGGCATTTATACACATGTGCGTGCACACGTGCACACGCACACACACACACACACATACTCAAAAAGCTTTGCCTTTAGTTGAATGGCTTACCAGCTGATGTTTTAGTTGGATGTTCTTATGTAAATATACTGCACACAACTTACAAATATCTCCATGAATTTGGGTTTCATTTCCTCTCCTGTGCGGTTGCTTTCAATGCCAGCAGCCAGAGCCTTGTCTCTACAGCCACACAACCAGCTCCACCTGGCAGCCGCTTCTCGTGCTGAAGAGCCCTACAGGAACTGCTTCCATTTGAGGTGGGAGGTCTGTCACTCAAATTAGACGCCTCTTTTTACCATCATGCATCAAATGCCGGGGCTTTCTAACTGCTCAGGGCTCAGGGCATGCAGCATTTCAAGCACGTTCAGCCTGTCCTTCCACTTTCACCATCAGTTCAGTGGCTGCGGATCTTGGAATTCTCTGCCTCGTTCTCTTTGCACAAGATTCTGTCCCTGTACGCTCACTCCATGGAAAGGGCAGTGTCACTTTCTTTTTTTTGTTTGTTTCTTTTTTTGAGACGGAGTCTCGCTCTGTCGCCCAGGCTGGAGTGCAGTGGCCGGATCTCAGCTCACTGCAAGCTCTGCCTCCCGGGTTTACACCATTCTCCTGCCTCAGCCTCCCGAGCTTAGCTGGGCATACAGGCGCCGCCACCTCGCCCAGCTAGTTTTTTGTGTTTTTTAGTAGAGATGGGGTTTCACCGTGTTAGCCGGATGGTCTTGATCTCCTGAACCCATGATCGCGCTATCTCGCCTCCCAAAGTGCTGGGATTATAGGCTTGAGCCACCGCGCCCAGCCAGTGTCACTTTCTTTCAAAGGACATATATTTAGAACCTCCAATTTAACTTGGAAAGTTACCAATGGGCACCTGGGCAATCCAT